GCTATACTTGGCAAACTTCCACTGTACCTCAGTAGTCTCCTCATTGTCTGCTCTGGTACCTATCAGCAACACTCCTCAAATGGTTGCTTTTTAACATGTCACGAATTACAACTAAATTGGGAAGAACTACTGCCCTTTCGTTGTCCCTCCGAGTTCCGTCGGATGACGATGAATGGGGCTTTGCTTAGAAAGCCTATCAGCTTCGCCTCTTACAAAATGAGCCAATGGCAAAGAAATGCCATGGGTCTGCGGAATTTGCATAGCGTATCTCCGCCTTACCTCGTTGGTATAAAAAGGAGGACGCCGCAGCATGCAGATATGTTTTTTTTCCCTTCAGAGCCAAGTGCATACTTCACTCCCTAAACCATATCTCTCTTCATTCCTCTTCGAGACAAACAGCTCTTGGTGTGACGGCGATCCCAGCGAGTTTCACAATTTAGTGATCTGCCAGTGTTTGTGTTTGAGCGAGTGGCCCGTCTTTTTAGAGGTGCACTTCGGGTTGTGGTTGACTGCTTTCTGTCTCTGATGGGCACAATCGCTGCTTTGTGTGTTCGGGCTTTGATCACGCTAGTGCCCAGGGTGACCTGAGGGTGATGGTGTGGCAACACCAACCGACGATTCATCCTCGGGCCACATCCCCCTCTCCAGTGTTGCAACCCGTGAGTCATCAGGATGATATCCCGGAGGCCCGCTGTTGGCTCCACCCCTCCGCCGGTAATAGATCCTCCGCCTGCTCATCGCCCTATGCCGCTGCTTCCCTTTCCGCTGGGCCCCTGTAACAGGCTTCACCCGGGCCCCAGCGTAGAAGCAGCAGCAGACAGGCCGCCCGGTCTGTCTCGGTCACCACCCAGCCAGGGGGCGAGTACCAGAAGCATTCCTGAGACAGGCCACCTAGGGATGGGGGGACAAGTTCTTCAGATGGTTTCTGTTCCACCTCTGGCTCCCCGGAGTCCAGTGGTACCCAAGCTGTCGAGAGAGCGAGTCTCCCCGTCCCTGGGCCACAAGAGGCTGAGGCTGGCGGTTCCCGGTTCGACCTTGCTCTGGAACCCCGGGTATGTCTTGCTACCCCGGGTATGTATGTGGTAGGGGTGGGTGAAAAAATCGATTCTCGGACGTGGACGATCCTGAATCAATTCACAAATGTCAAAAAATCGATTTAAAAAAAAAATATATTATATGTATTTATAATAACGTAATATTGACGGAACGCGAATGACGGAACTCTGAAGCGCGGATGTGCAGTGGCCAGACCGTCTGTGGCGTGCACATAACAGAGATGAGATGGCACGCGAGATCCAAACACCTTCCTTGTTAGGTTAAAAGCTGATGTGTGGAAATATTTTGGCTTCTGAAGTTGAAGGGGGGAAGGAGCTGGACAAGAGCCGCACTAGTTGTACGCTTTGTGGAATAAAACCAACGACGGAAACACGACAAATATGATAAGCCATATGACACCTTTCCAGCCGGAGGAGGAAAAACACTCGGCTGCACCAGTCGTTATATTATTTATTTACTACAAGTATGCTCCTAGTTCAAGCACACATTTATTTTCCTGGTCGTTCTTTGTAATGTTAATAAAATATATTGTGCATTAATTCTTTATGGGTCATTACTTTGTACTTTTAAAGCAAATTATTTATAGTCACACACAAAAGATTCAGATAATCGATTTGTAACATTATAAATGTCTTGTACTTTAACTTTTGATCAACTTAATTTATCCTTGATGAATACAAGTATAGATTTCTTTTTTCTTTTGCCCAAAAAATTAAATAAAAATTCTTACCGACTCCAAACATTTGAACGGTATTGTTTAATGTTACAAAAGCTTTCTATTTCAGATAAATGCTGTTCTTTTGAATTTCTAGGTGATTCTCTGAATCGGGTGCCCTTCAAGTCCCCCAAACTTGCTTCAAATATTTTCCATTGAAGGAAATCACAAAATACATTTTAATGCTGTCAATTAATAGAACCAGGTGCATTTGCATTATAATGCAACAAAATAGCTTTTGAAAAAAAAAATTTAAAGTTAATAAATTTAAAGATAATGACCCAGCTAACATGGGAACGTTCCCAGAACATTCACTAACGTTCTTTAAAAGTTGTGTAAATGTTAGGACAAACCGTTATTAAAATAATGTTTTCGGAACGTTCATATAACATTATTAACGTTCTTGTAACGTTGAGAGAAAACGTTCTTAGAACAACGTTCTTGGAACGTCTTTATCACGTTATTTGTATTTGATGAACGTTCTCATTACGTTGATAAAAAACGTTCTTAGAACAACGTTATCGGAACGTCTTTATCAGGTTATTTGTGTTTGATAAACGTTCTCATAACGTTCCAGCAACATTATGCTAACCTTAGGATAACGTTCTAACAACATTATGCTAACGTTCCAGCAACGTTCTGCAAACATTAAGACACCGTTCCAGCAACGTTAAGCAAACTGGACATTTCCGCGTTTTTAGAACATTTTAAATTAACGTTCCCACAACCAAAATGGAACGTTAGAAAAACGTTCTCAGAACCTAACTTTGTTAGCTGGGGAGTTGCCTAAGTAGTAGACAACAAGCATGTTTGCATGTCCTCACTAACCATCATTCTATTTTCAATGAATATCAAACAAATAAAAAGTGCAATTAATACCAAAATGTTGCTGCTGCTAATATAATCACATGTTGATCTAGTGTATTTTCGTTTACTGTTGTGAAATGGAAAATCAATAATCGGTAATCGAGAATCGTTAATAATCGAAAATCGACTGTATTCGAATCGGGACTTCAATAATCGTAATCGAATCGAATCGGGAAATCAGACAGATTAACCACCCCTAGTATGTGGTGCCTCTGGTCCCCGGTCCGGTTCATCAAGGCCTGGAAATCGTTTCCCAACCCGTCTTGTTAAAACAAAAAATCACCCTGGCCTGCTGCCAAACCCTCAGTCCGTGGTCGGACTCTTTGTTTCGCCGGGCCGGAGTGCCCCTAGAACAAGTGTCCAGGCACGCTGTGATCTATTTCCGCATTTATATCAGTGCTGCGGGGTGGAGTTTGAGATGCATATCTTGCACGCCAATGTGCATTGGCTCGTTCAATAATACTCTAAGACAATAGGCTTCCTGAAGTGATCCCATTTCAGTTGAAACCGACTACGTCCTCCCTTCCCTCCTTCAGGGGGACCAGGGGGATCAGGGGGCATACGCAACCAGGACGTTATACTCACCTTGGGAGTAGAATGATCTACAAAAAGAGCTTAGGTTAGAAACCCTCATGTACATTAATTAATTTAAAACTACTGTAAAGAGTGTTGTGATGGAGACATTTTTCTTAAGAGTCTCATTGTGTTCTTTTTGTACATGAAAATGTCATTTGGTGTTTGTTGTGTATGCATTTGTTGTGATTTGGCTGCTACCTTGCCCAGGTCTCTCTTGTAAAAGACATTCTGGATCTCAATGGGAGCTCCTGGTTAAATAAAGGTATAATAATGACAGTAAATGTAAGTGTGATCGCCCATGCAAGTTCAGTACCTCAGCTTTGACGAGGGCCTTATATGGCAGAACTGAAGTCTCAGTCACGGATTGTATCTTCTATGATTTAACATAATATCCAAATAGCGGTGAAATGTAAGCAGGATGCCAACATTTGAATTCTCAAACGGCTCAAAAACATGCTGCCGTTGTCATTAAAACCAGCTAAAGGCTCTGTACCTGCAGTTCTCTAAACTTTCACCTGCTGGGACCTGTCAAAAGCACTTAGACGACTATGCTGTACACTTCACAGAGCATTATACATGTGGTCCTCCCCACATAATACGGTGGAAACGATGCCAAACTTGAACAACCTTGTCTAACATTTGTAGACACTAATGCCATGCAGTGTGCTTGCTTTGCCGTTAGCACCTTTCAAGCACTGTGCATGACTGCGAGGACCTGATTCATTTTTTTTTTCCTGTTTATACTGATAACAGAACTGTGGGATGCATTTGCTGACCTGGTGGTGATAAAAGTCTGCACGTAAGCCTGCACATTAGCAGGTGCTAGTGAACATTAAAAGAAATGCAAAGCAGTCAAAAGAGAGATGTCAGCACACAATATTGCTGAAAATGATATTCAATCTGTCCTGGCTTGCTCAGAATTGTGCCCGGCACAACGGCAGTGACGATGTGAGCATTTTGGAGCGCACCCAGCTTATCCTGGCTCCATACTGGGTGTTGCGGCTACAGCTGGTTATACAATAGCTCCTTTTGCTTATTTTGTGTATCTCTGATTTTGTCCGATGGAGGGGAAACATGTTGCTAAGTAACTATTAAAGGGTAAGAACCATTCCTACCTTTGATAAAGTCTAATTGAAAAGACAAGCTTCGATGCTGATCTTTATATTGTTAACTACATTCAGCACATTTAATAATTAGCCTGTGACACGAGTGCACTTGGTAGCACACTCTAAAAAATGCTGGGTTGTTTCAACCCATGTTTAGGTCAAATGTGGACAAACCCAGCCGCTGGGTTTAAACAATTAATTAAAAAATGTAAACCAGGTGAACCCAGAATTGCATTGTTTCTTAGTCAATGGGGTTCCAAAAAATAATATACTGAATGACTCTAAAACTTGCATGTGGTTTAACTATCAGGTAAAACATAACAACACATTTTCCTTTGATATTTTTTAAGTCTGTATATTTTTCAAGGTAATATATATATATATATATATATATATATATATATATATATATATATATATATATATATATATATATATATATATATATAAATACTACAAATTATTCATTTATAATATTTTTGATACATTTTTTCTAAGTGTACTTAATCATTATTTTAACTTATTATTTTAATAAGTAAATAACTTTATTTGTAACTTATTAATTCATTTGTCATTACATTTTTGAGGAGTCACACGACAAGACATTTTACAACATAAAGTAACCCAACCATCTTATATTTTTTTTCTCATAACAATCTGAACTTTTAAAAGTTACTGACCTTGAATAAGTCATGATGATCTGCAGGGGGCCTCTGATGTCATTTCCTGTTGAATGAGTCCGGCATGTTCACTGAAAAAAAGGGTAACTGTTATCAAAGGATGTATTTTAACTTGACCTCAACTCACAAAATTTGTTGATGTTAATGATTAATTAACTAATGATTGACATTTTTGTTAATAAAACCAGTTAATTTATATTTAACCACAATGACACATGTTAAGGTTACCTCCAAAAACATAATGGATGAATTGCATTTGGATGTAATTTAAAAAAAAATGTCTTCATTTACCAGTACCTTGCACCATTCACAATCCTTTTTATTCATATTTCTATCAAGGTTTTCCCTCGTTTGTCTACGTTCTAATATTTATATGTCTCAACAGCAAACATTCCACAATTTAATTAGGTATTGTTATGATCCTGACATTGTTGTTTAATTTTGTCATACTTTGCCCATCAAGGCACAGTTAATTGGTACTAAAAAAGCCACATTTTCTCAGTTACAGAACTTTTTTGTTAATTGCAAACCATTTGATTTATGCTTTGGCTGGCCTGAAGGAGTGTTAATCAAAAATGGGATCCTCTCACGTTTAGTGGCACACGTTTTACCATCAATTAGACCAGTTGAAGATACAACCCTGAATCTCTTCATAGATCAGAACCCATTTACTGCACATTTCATTCATAATGCTGTAAGGGCTACATCTTCTCTGTTATAGAGTGAGAAGCTGATTTTTCTCTGTCCTGAAAATTTCAGAGGCCATTAGTCCTGCGGCTGTCTTTACTTATAAATGTCACTCATAAGGCCACCGCTTCTGTCATTTCTCCATTAAAACTCAATTTTGCTTGACAGACTGCCCTCCACAACAGTACTTTATTAAGAGCTGATTGTATAACACTTTGAAAAGAGAGCGAAAATGATATGGAGGAAAAAAAATACATGTAGTTCTCCATCCAGAAAAAAAAAAAAAAGTCATCTCTTTCCCGCTTTAAGTCAATTTTTCATTATGCTCAGCTATTGACCTTTCCTCCAACAGGAAGTGCTGCGACTGTCTTTGTGAGGATTGTAATTGACAAGATGTCTCTTCTAATAGAAAAATGACCACATTTTCTCACCAGTTAATTATAAATTCAGTGGTTGCCTCAGCGCTGGCAGACGAGACAAGAGCTCAGTAAACCTTGGCCCATGTCAGGCAAACAATCATATCATCCATTATATCCCTGCCACACACATGCTGATTTTTGAGCTTTTCTCATTGGCTGAAAGTCACTACTCTTATACATTGGTTTTATCTGAGTTTAGGAACACAGACAACAAATTGTACTGTTGAACCTGAAATCTATAACCACTATTGTTGTTATTATTAATTTTAAATGATTCAGATTCACCTTTTGTGTATAGGTGCTCAAGAAATGGTTCAGCCAAAGTGGCATTATTTCAGCCCGTTCTCATCCCAAGGCGTCATATACGACGCTTTTGCCAAAGCGTAGACATCCAACGCACATGGCCCCCTTTAGCGTCAATATGAAACGCAGATATATATGGGCCAGAAGGCGCCTCCTAGTGGTTTGACCCTAACCCTACCACAGACCTAAACCTACCCATAACCGAAGCATGTTTTATTGACGCTAAAGGGTGCCATGTGTGTTTTATGTCTACGCTTGTATGTTTATGAAAAAAAAAAAAAAAAAAAATCCAAAATTTAAAATGTAGGCATAATGTAAAGTATGGAAAACAATAGTTTATGATTTATTTTAATATTTTTTTGTTCTTACTTATTTTAAGATTCAATAAAGGTTACATTGAGCACTGTTATTAAATTAGTAGTGTTTAAAATTCTTTAAAAAATAAGTAAATAAATAAACTATTCTAGCCTCATGAATTTTTGAATGTGTGTAAGTTTCATAAAAAATAAAATAAAAATTATAGAAAAAAACATTTTGAGCTAAAAGCAGAGCAAATCTCGTTTTTGTCAAAGATTACAATCAGATCAGATTCAAAAGAATGATCAAAACATGGAGTAGACATCAACACCCCGAATGCTTCACAGTCCTATGACATCAGGCCATTTAGATTTTTTATGCTGTTCATTGATGATGATCCCGTAATTTATCTCGTTACATATGAGATCGCTTTACATCAGTTCCATAGCCTATACCTAAATTTTATATATATATATATATATATATATATATATATATATATATATATATATATAATGTGTACTCTTTTAAATTCCCAAAATTACTTATTTATGCATTTAAATGTAAATTTCATTTGTGTAACACTTTATTTTAATGTGTCCTTGTTACACATCAATAACTATGCATAATAGCATGCACAATGCATCTAATTCTAAACCAAACCCTAACCTTATAGCAAGAATAGTTAATTAATATTTCTCAGTACTATATTTAAATATAATTGCACTGTAACAGGACAATCAATGTAACCGTACTTGTATGGTACTTTACCAAGTAACACAAAATTGGTGCATATTAAATTACAGATAAATGTTTTTTTCTGTTGTTTATATATATATATATATATATATATATATATATATATATATATATATATAAACAGTAGGATGTATTTTAGCCCTTTTGAGAGGCATGCTATTAAACCTGATGCATTAACAAATAAATTCATGCATGTTTTGACTCTGCATGCTTTAATCACCTCCATATTTAATCATGTTATAATAACTCGTTCACAATCCCATATATCTGTACTTGTAGCTTTTCTGTGCTTGTTTAACTTGTGTCTGGCACTGAGGCTTTTGAATGACATTAAACAATATTCAATTGTATTTGCAATTGCAGTTTTAATTTGTGCACGCAGAAGTTGTGATATAATGGAAACACACATGCGTGATTTTGTATTTTTTCTACATGAAAAGTAGACCATTCTTCACTATATTAAAATGAAAGTAATAAGTAAATCAAATATTTGTGGTGCTCTATATCGTGATTTGACATATTGGTCGCTATGCGAATTGTGTGATGAAGAAGAAGAGAAAGAAGAAAATGCATACAGGTTTGAAATGACACTCTGGTGTATAAATAATGACAACTTTTCATTTTTTTGGATGAAGTATTCCTTTAAATTCAAACCAAGCAGGAATCACATCTGCGCCTCAGTGACACAGATGTTTTATACAACTTCAATATCTGAAAGAGAATGTGTCCGGTGATCTAATAATGCAGGCGATTTGCTTTGTATTACCAAACAATTCAGGAGACAACGGATCATCTGTCAAGGTAATGAAAACATGACAAGTCTCTGACGCATACATGCTCATCTGCCCTTCATTTGCCCCCGGTACCTCTCCCTGAACCCTGCAAGTGATAAGAATGACAAACACGCTCAGCAAACGTGAAAATGATTTAACAGTCTGTGAGAGCCAATCATCTATTTTTTGTCTGAAACAGAACCCATTTACATTATGCTAACTGCAGTGGCATCATGGTCACTAACTCCTGACCATAGGCTATTCCACAAGCAAAATGTAGATGAAATGAAAATGTGGAACGGTTTTCTGTCTGTTTGTTTGTTGGGGGAGGGGATCTCCTCTACGATTCAAACTGACCTTTTCCCAGGTGAGATTAAGGATTTGGCTGAGTGTTCGAGCTGTCCCTGCATACCCACTTCACTGGTGCCCACTGAAGCAGGGCCGAGCAGTTTAGAGTCAACCACATGTCACGGCTGGCTAAGATGGGAAGCACTTGCACACCAACGGTGTGCGATTTTGGAAAGACCTGTGCTTCGTGCAGCTTTAAAGCTCAATCAAACAACACTGGACCAAGAGGATTGAATTGTTCTTATGACTCTGCTATGGTGCAGAAAAAAATGTCACTGGTTTCCTACCAGTTTTGTGTCGTGCTACAGTCTGTCAGCATGTTATTCAAGTCAAGTGATACAATTGATTGAATCTCAGAACTTAAACCATCAACTAAAAGTAACAAAGAACCCAGCAGAGGGGAGTTGGCTGTCAAATTAAGGCACCAAATGTGCAGTGCTGTTCATTTTAGTGCATTATACAGAAGTCTATGGAGTGGCAAGAAGCTATCCGAGTTATTCAGCTGTGACCTGATGGACATCCAAGTTTTGGAAGCAGAATTTTTCACATTCTGCTAAATCGATCCACAGTTCATGGATAGCTCAGTAACACATAGGAACAATTTGGATAACTTGCAATATAACAAAAGCCATACAGTCAATATGGTGAATTCGCATGAGCAACTGAACAAGATGAAAAATATGCGTGGGTAAATCTTTCGTCATCATACTAATATCCAGATCAGATCACATTGCTATTGAAATTACTATATATGTGTGTGTGTGTATGTATAGACCATTTTGCAAGATGTAAACAACACTGGTCCAGAAGCACTTCCTGTTTCAGTTTTTTAACACTACATAAAAGCTGGGATAAAATACAACATGTGAAATAAAGAAAACAGTTACAAACTGAAACAGGAAGTGTTTCTGGACCAATGTTGTTTACATCTTGCAAAATGGTCTATATACATGTATACATATATATATATATATATATATATATATATATATATATATATAACACATTCTCACCCCAAGGCGTCACCTTTGACCATGCTTCAATATTTGACGTTTTAGGCGCCCTTTAGCGTCACTTACATGACGCGATCCTACGGCGTCATCTAACTGACGCTAAAGGAAAGCGTCAGTTAGAGGACGCGGTTAGGTTTAGGTGTGGGGTGGGGGTAGGGTACACGCGATCCTAGGGCGTCATCTTACTGACGCTAAAGGGCGCCTAAAACGTCAGATATTGAAGCATGTCCAAATGCTTCCCAAGGCGTCAGTTAAGTGACGCCTTGGGGGTGAGAATGGGCTGATATATACATGCATGCATAGGTATTTATATATACAAAATAATTATATACAGCACACACAGATATATTATGTAAACACAGACTTTTATTTTGGATGCGATTAATCGCAATTAATTTTTGCACAGCCCTAATATATATATATATATATATATATATATATATATATTGGTACAGTGAGAAATAAAATTGCA